TCCTCTACTTAATCTATAATTAAAAATTCTCTTTTTGTTATCAAGTACTCTTCTTGGATAAGGCCTCATCAAATAGGACTTAAGAGGAAATGCTTCATCCGCGACAAAATAGTATGGAAACATTTGTATATCCCCTTGGTCGTGAGGTAATTTGATGCCTGTTGGTATATCAAGACCATTTATATCTAACCATCGGCCTAAACGACAAGCTCTAAAAACTTCACCGTCACTATTTCTCCCTGCCTGACCAACATCAATTGTTGTAAATATACCATCTGCATCACAACTCGCCATAAGTACCAGCGAGTGGTACGATTTATAGTTAAAATTAGATGAACCAGATTTTGGAATCTTTTGTATTCTGATGTGCTTCCCATCTATAGCACCTATAGACAATTAAACAAAAATGTTATTTTTAGTCTTAATATACTGTTAGATGCTTATTTGACATTTGTATACATATTTAAATGGTTTGAGGTCAATATTATAGTACATCATAATATAGCCATTTTTTTATTATATTATATTATACTAAAACTGTTTATGCACCTATACAGTTTGGGAGATTCCACAGATCTTGAAATCTGTCAGCTATTGTTTTCCATTTTTCAGCAGTTGGTACTGGCATATATAGATCTTTTAAACATTCCCATATATTTCTTGTTGTGTCAGCAACGATTTTACTGACAGTGTTATTACCTCTCGCAAAATAAAATGCCAAGGCACTAAAATTGCAACCTGTAGCCAAATATCTGAAAATCATTTTTTTTTAAATATTATGATTTGTATAAATACTATTATTATTCATTGTAAAATTAATTTCATGACATTTTAGAGCTCTAATTATTATGATATAAATATTAATTACCATATAAATTCCTTATAGCGGAAAACTGCAAAGAAAAATGGAGGAACCTTCGTACAGTGTTTGTAAGGAGACAAAAACCACCAAGTGGTTCCGGAAGAAAAGATTGTAAAGTATACTATATGACTGAACATATGCAATTTATTTTACCGTATATTAAAGGATTCAGAAGTGTAGATAGTACGGGAAATCTTCCTTCCCCTCCGAATGTGATGGACGATGAAGTTAACGAAACTGATGAAGTTGAAAACACCGAAGAAAATGAATTCGAATCGACTGCAGAAAGTTTCAACATGACTAAATCAAGCAACGAACAAGTATTTACTCCAAAAGTTAAGAAAAAAAAGACAAACACTTCAGATGCTGCAGATCAATGTTTTATTGATTATATTAATACTAAAAAACAAAATTCCAAAAAAGAAGATGATCCAAGAAAACAGTTTCTGTTAAGTATGTTACCTGAAATACATCAAATGACTGACATCCAAATGAGGAAATTCAAACGTAAAATGTTAGATACAATAGATGATATTTTGGGAGAATCAAGTACCGGAGTAGCTGACTATTTCCAACCTATTCGTCCTATTTCAAACCATTCAACTCATTCATAAAACTATTCTGTCTATTCGCCAAGTGTATCATCATACGGTTCTGAATCTAGTTCAGTTTTAACTTCACCCATGTACATACAAAATTCAAATAACTTAGAACATACACAAACATTACAAGAGTACCAAAGTGTGCTAAATTTGAGTAACATTGAACAAGTGCAGATAAATCCAAACACGTCTTGTATACCACTCAATATGCAAGAATATCTTACAAAAAAATAATATACATATATATGTATTGCATTTTTGTTTTTTTTAAATAAGACGTATTTTTTTAAAGACGTATATTTATACATTTTCTATAACATTTAAAATCTAAATTTTTTTAATAAACAATTTTATGTCAAAAATTATTTTTAAATTTTCTTGAAGCATTAAAAATTAAAAATTTTATCTTACTTATTTTGTTTATTGTTTTTAGATGACATAGTCCATTTATACCATATGATTTTCTAACAGGTTTATCGTTTATGCACAATATTTGATGCTTACAATATTTATTTATTACAACGTACAGTGTCAGTTTCTCTATTATTATTATATAAGGACATAAGGTGTGTCAATGATTTGAATGAAAGTCAACGATATTTATTCAATTATTCATATGAGTTTGTGTGCCTATTCTGTGATTTTTGTATTTATAGCGTATTTTTCCTTATTTTTAATGCATTGTTATTTTAATACAACGATTTTTGGTACATATTTTAATGTCCATGAATCATGAACTTGGCCAACCATTTAAATTATCCATATAAATCTAAATTATTATTTCATAACAATCATAACGCGTGAATATACGAGTATACAATACATACCTTATTGTTATTAGAAGTCTTTCTTCGACACCGACACATTTTCTAAAATGAGTATCTTTTCGGCCGATGGCCGGTTCAAGCAAGTTGCAAAGTTCTGAAAAACTTTCTTTACTCATTCTGTAGAATGACTGAAAACGTTCTGGATGTAATAATAGTTCTCTCGAAGCAACATACGCATTTCTGTTGATATTATTTGCTAAGTAGGGATGAATCCAAAATTTACGTTTTTTTTTTTTACTTTTTAAATAAGACCACATCACTATCACACTATCATCTGAACTATCCGATTCCATTTTCAATAGGTACACGGATGATGCTGGTGACGAACTGTTATATACTGTTTAAAAATATACGAACTGAAAAATAATACAGTAGAACAATATTGTTGATGCGACTTCGATCGCGTGAATGAGCGATTCTACGCGAAACTCGTCGCGTACGACAGTTTCATGGTTTTTTATTAAGTTGCGTCGCGTCAATCGCGTCGCGCTAGTGGGAGAGCTGCCTAAATGTCAAGCAAAAGCTGTCCTGCCACCACCGCCGCAAGCCGGGCCAGCGGCGGCCTGACCGGTTGTCGGTCGCGATCTCGCGGACGTCGATAGAGACGCCGCGGTCGTTGCGATAACGACCGCGACATACTGAACTAATCACCAGTTATAAAAAAACTAGAAAACAACCAAAAGTGATGACAAAAAGAGTTGGTTGATTATAGTAATTTATGTAACATTTGGTTATATATATATTATTTACTATTTCAGATTTTATTCAAAATGTTTACTGTCAGAAATTGTAAATCCACCCCATGGAAAATGTTTTTGATAAGTGACATTAGAGAGCCTTAAAAACCAAATAAATAAAAATAAATAATATGTTAGTGTGATTTCTAATAAAAAAATAATTAATAAATAAATAGCACCTAATTTTTTTTTAAATCTTATAGTAGTATGTTAGATTCGCATTGAAATTAAATTAATTTTAAAGCTAAATATATTGATTGGTAGTATTTTTTATCATTCGTCACTGATCATACTTTGGGTAACAGATCACAACACATATTTTTAAAGTAAAAGACGCAACACGTTTTAAATATTAAATTTAATCATACCTTATTTATAATTATTTATGCGTACAAAGTATTACGTAAAGTACCTATAATTACGCGATAAATATAAATCAAGCTACCGAGTTGTATAAATATGTTTATGCTTAGATTTAAATAAACTTAACCTCAACTTAGAATATTTTTTTGAGTTTAATAATTTGTAAATGTACCTATAGAAAATGCAGTTTCTTATAAACATTTTGCATTTGTGAATTGCTTTAGGGAGGTAGAAAATATAATTATAATATATAATGTATATATTATTATATTATTATTATTATTATTATTATTATTAGGGCTCGGATTCAAAAGCCCTAAAAATTTAAAAACAAATGCATTTACATGTACACTAGTATAGGTACTTTTTTAAATATAAAAAAAATGAGAAAAAAGAGGGTAAGTGGATGTCGCTCTGCTGTACAATAGGTGCCTAGAAGTTCGCTGTACCTAATGGTTGTTATTAAATTTGAATTCAATGATATAATAATAATATCATTGTATACGAAAAACGATTCAGAGCGAAAACGGTGTGTTAGTCTAGAATATTTTATATTGTTATAACCTAGCCGGTTAGTTGAATTAGTATTATTCATAATATTATTCTTAAATTATCAGTGATGCTAGAAAAATATTATATTTACTTATGTAAAATTGGGCTTTTTTGTGAATCAAATTACAACAAAATGACTAAAATTGTTTTTTTTTGTGTTAATATGTAATTTCGTCTAAATTTTTAGTTAAAATACCCTTAAAAATAGCTGTGTTTATGTATATTTATTTTTAGATTTATTGGTTAAAGAATTAACTATTTACGTAGAACCTTGTTTTAAATCTTCAATCTTTAGCTATAAAAGTTGAACATTTTACACATATTTAACCACAAAATCGTTTTCCGATCATCAGTTTGATAAATGTCGTCATAATATGAACTTAAGAATGTATGAAAAAAAAAAATTGTGCAAATGTTAATATAAATATTTTTCAATTGTTATTGTAACAATATATCAAGAGTCTTGTATTAAATTTTCATGCTTCTCGACTTAACTAACCAATACGATTTTATTTACGTTTAAAGATAAAAAAAATTAAAAACTGAAAATTGAAAATGTCCGTCAAAAGCTTAAAACGAGTCAAAATATTTTGAAAAATATGTTTGTTTTTGAATTACAGCAAAACAAGAAAAGAGTGAATCGAGTGAATATCCAGTGTTTTAAAACTTTCAACTTCAAACGATCATAAAAATTCAATTTGACTCTCCGGTAAAAAATTTTTCTTAAAAAGGTCGGCAAACTTATAAGGAATCTTGTATTAAATTTTTAAATTTTAGATATAAAAAGAAAAAAATGTATGAACCCAAATTCTTTGTTAATTTTTGTGATTTTTCCGAATTTTGTCAAAATTCAAAATTCAAATGCTCATAAAAAATTATAGTGCATATAAGCTCATTTTTTTTTTAATATCCACTAACAACAATTTACGAGGAACCTGGAAATATAATTTCCAAAAGTTTTGACAGAGAGAAAAATATTTTAACTGACATAAGTTTAAAAAAAACAAATAATAATCGGTAGAATTTCATATGCCTATAAATAATAGTTGTAATGAACTAAAATATTTTGAAAATTTTATGGTGTATAGAAAATGCTAACATAAACATTCAGTGAAAATTGCACGTATCTATGATAATTTTTCTAGAGGTACACAGAAACTAAAATCGATTTTTTCGAAATCTGATTTTGAGTGAAAATTCCCGTTTTTCCATAATTTTTTTTTGGTTTTCCTGTCGCTTTTGAAAACTATTGGTAATATTTTACTTTAGACTCCATACTAGTATCAACTAGATTCACTTTCCTATCAGAAATGATGCTGTTGAAAAAAATGATACATTTACACTGCCCCAAAAAGAGATGACAAACACAAAACTAAAAAAATTAAATTAAAAAACACACATTGTAAAATCAATACATTTACAGGAGTAGAATCTAAAAAACCATAACAGATCGAAATTTTAATATGTCTATAAATATCTCAAAAAGAGCCGATACATAGAAAACATTCAGTGAAAATTGAATGTATTTAAAGTTATACTCTAAAAACAAAATCAATTTTTATTTAATTTTGAATTCTGTGCGGAGCAATAATATATGATAATAATGTAGTGATTTTACAATGATATGTGTTTTTTAATATATTTATTTATTTATTTATTTGGGTCTGTTATCACGATTTAGGGCGGTAAATGTGTTTGGATTTTCTTCGGCAGCATCTATTCTAGAAGGAAAGCGAATCTAGTATGTGTTTTGGGCGGTCAAAAGTAAAAAAATTCCAATAGTTTTGAAAAGCGGTATTAACACCAACAATTAAGGAAAAATGAAAGTTTCTACGGATATCGACAGACGGAGTCGGTAAATTGCGCCCCCACCCCGAAAAAGGTCTTATTCATATACTATGTAAATTGCTGCTCACTTTTAAAACAAATACTTAAATTGCGTCAATATTTGCCATTTGAAATGTACGTAAACGGTGGCTTTCCAATTTCCGGTCGGCTGTACAATTTAATGACAAGTACTTATTAATCTTTGATTAATCTTTTTTATATAATAATATGCATATGTTCAGTAATATAATATGATTAGCAGCCAGTATGCAATGTGCATTTCATCAATGATCTTACGCACGAGGTTTTACGTAGTTGCTCTACAGCTTACATTTTTTTCAATTTAATAAAAATGGACGTTATGAAAGGTTGCGAAAGGAATAAATCGTTTAAAGTAAGTTGATAGTTTCAAATTTCGTTTTTCCAAATTGCTAAAAAATGATATTCAATGTTGGTGTTGCACAGTTAAAATGTGTAGGTTTTTTTGAAATTGAATGATACTAATATATTAATATGTGTATACAGATAATTTTCAAGATCACAGCCATTTTAAAATTTTGAAACAAATAATAAGAAACAGAAATTTAACAACAGTTTAAAAAGAAAAGCCGTCGATGATGTGTTTGCCAGCCCATCTAAAATTATTCATTCTGAATAAAAAATTCTGATGCCTTTATACAACTACTCAAGACGTTAAGTTGATTAAACGAAATTTACACAATGCTTGAGGCTCGAGTTTCTATCCTACCAAAATCATCAGCCACTTTTTTTGGAATCGCACAACATTTTTGGGAACAAGGAATTTAAAACAAATAAAAATGAAATTTTTTTGTTAGTTAATAGTGAAGAAACAAATACAGTAGGTTTCCCTATATTATGCAATTTAAGAGTGCTATGCAATTCGGATAGTATATTTGTCGATGGTATATTCGAAAGTTGTCCGAAATTATGCCATAATAAACTGTTGTATAATAAATCTTATGTTCCATTCGTTTATATTTCACTACCTCCAGAGACTACATAATGATATTTAAAGACATTTCAACATTTAGTTTTAGAGGGCAAAAAAAATATTAATAAATGATTACAAAAACAATAATACTGATATAGAAGAAGGAAAATATTGATTTTGCACAAAAAGCCTTAGACGCAATTTTAGCTTGAATGAAAAATATTTAGGCAGGCTTTCAAATTATGTTCAAACTGCAATTTACGTTAGGTTAGGTACATTGGCCGCAATTTGCATAAAAAATTTAAAATGGGACGCAATTTACATATATCCTCAATAAATCGATTTTAGTTTTTAATGTAACTAAACAAAAATATCATAGATTAACGAGTAGATCGATGCAATATACACTGAATGTACATATCAGCATTTTATATACCTACACCATACAATATTCAAAATATTTTGACTAGTATTAAACTATTTAAACTTTAAAGGCATATGCAATTTTTGATTATTAGGTATTTGTTTTTTTGAACCTATGTCGATAAAAAATGTTTCGCTAGGTTAGTTAAAAGTTGAAAATATAATTCAAGGTTTCTTGTAAGTTTTTGTTAGGTAGTGGAAATAAAAAAATAAGATTGAGCGTAAGTCCACAATATTTTTTTATGAGTTTGAATTTAGAAATTTGACAACATTTGTAAAAATCACGAAAAATAGCAAACTATTTTGAATTAGAATTTCATAAAAATTTTCTTTTTATATCTAAGATTTAAAAAATTAATGCAAGATTCTTTATAAGTTATAAGTTTGTCTACCTTATCAAAGACAAAATGTTCTGCCAGTAAGTCAAATACAATTTTTATGAGGGTTTGAAGTTAAAATTTTTACGCAGCATTGGATATCCACTATTCCACTCGATTTCTTATGTAGCGATTTTCTTATTTTGTTGTAATTTAAAAACGAATAACTAAAATTTACACCATATGTTCATTGCATAAATATATTGGATACAATTTTCAAGTATTTGACTCAAGACTTACAATAAAAAATCACATCGAAT